ATGCAAAAAGTTCTAATTAGGAAGTTGTATGATTTTCAATGCCTCTACTATTATCCCGGCGTAGTTGGTAGTGTTGCGTCCATTTTGTTTGGAGGGAGTTCAGTGTAGCGAGAATCGAGGTCACCAAATAGGGGAATTATGACATTTCAGGAGCTGATGGACCCGGATAAAATTGTGGAGGGTGTGACGATTGCTGGAAGATAAAAGGCAGCAAACAGCAGTTCCCAATGCCAGGACATGATGAGTTGCGTAGGTCAAAATGTGCCGGGTAAATCACGACGAGGGTTCCAGAGATGAATAGGGACATGAGTACAATATGTGACAAGTGTGCGTGTGCGTGTAGAAATGTAAACACAGTTGATTGAACCACTTATGCAAGCAGTGCAAGTGTACTTATAGAAAGAAAAGAATACATTTTGGTAAATTCGTCTAAGCATGACAGATATGGGACGGCACACATTCATAAAGGATGCGAGTAAAGGCACATTTTTTGGAAAATGCGTGGAGTCTATTTTTAGGCCACTTTTGTGCGAATATCTCGCTTTTAACCCTATTTTGTTTCAGTAAGTAAATGAGTTCAAGAGGGTGTTATAAAAATCGATTGAGATTGTGTGAGTTGACACTGTGCACTTGCCACATTTTGCATTTCAGTAAGGTGTAAATCAATATCGTTCCTTATTCTAGACGCTTTAAAATACTAGAATTAAATTACAGTAGGGCGTAAAAGTTTGCACTGAAATCGACCAACATATTTCCATTCAATGGTTGAAAATCAATCGTTGAGCCTCGTGATATTTTTTATGTAGTGCTGTGCCTTTAATTAATGAATAAAATTTTCACAAATATAAAAGGAATTTATCAAGCCAATCAAAGTTGTCCATCGTGCTACTTGATCCACCATGTTTTCCTATCCTCAAGTGGAATATTCCAAGTTTAAGATCACGTTCTGCTGATATGAGTGCCTTAGGGCTCTGGCAAATCTATATGATTTCTCAAAACGCGAGATAAGCAATTAACAAAGATGTATTATGGAAATTGTATGACTCCGGCCAGATCATCCTCACTTTGCTGAAATCCTGTTGTAAGAATTTGGACTTTCATTCCCTACCTGCTAAGCGACGTCGTAATAGCGCTTGACATAGGAAGACCTCTTGATAATAAGCTCACGTTTTGCCTCCAATATTTCTAATCAACAGGTGTCGAGTCTGTGATCTGTAACTTCTCCGACCTCTTAAATGCTGATTATTATTATTATTGAATTTTAGGCCTCTAAAATCATCGGCTACATTGACGCCCTGATAAGTCGAGCAGGTGCTTCCACAAACCCCACCATCTCAAATCTTGCATCAGTCCCTTCTATCTCCACAACCGGCATTAACGGTGCTCCAGCATTTCCAACATGGATGATCACTAAAATCCCATCTTGTCCATCTAATTACAGTGTCTGGTAAGTTCTTCCTTTTGTGTCTGAAGAAGTATAGTGAGTTAACGTAAATCAATTACACACACACAGGAATGTATAGAGCTGCAGAACAACGTATTGGCATATGTGGGTGATGCGGCGGTCTATATGATTATTTGATAACACTCTAGGAATCATGCTCTAAATTAGCACTTATTAAAGAGCATATTGTTATGTAGGGTAGGAGTGTGAGTAAAGGGCTGAATAGAATCTATAAGAACATGCGTGGTAGATAGGTAGGTGGGTGGGTGGGTCAGAGCACTTTCAACTGCACAAAAGTGTGAGGAAGTGTCATTCTTGCCACTATCCTCTACCCTAGCTTGGCATCGTGTGGTTGAATAGATATGCTGTTAGGACTTCTCATTTGTCTACCCTCCTACTTAGGCCTCCTCTTCATATCAATCATCTCACCTCACCGAATACTTATTGGGGTCAGCCATTCTAAAATTCTGAACACTTGACTAGTTTGACTGCAAATTCAAAGTTATTTTCAAATCACCAATTTACTTTGTTTTGCTCCCACTAAATTGTACTTCTGTGGCTTAACAAGTGGAGTATATTTTGCTGAAGTACATTCCTCTCCTGGTGAAACACCTTCACCGAATAGGTGTATACGCCCAACCCTATGTGATCTACAGGTGGAGATGGAGAATACCCACCTGATTTGGTATTCAGCCCCAAAAGCAACGACGGAAGCCCAGAGATACCGGGAGGCCAGAAGTCAACGAATGGGCAACAGTTAACTATCCTAAAGCATATATATATATGTTTACATGTCCCTCCCCCCTCCCCCTTGTGAAGGTCGAAGTCAACTAAGGGGCTAATGATAGATGTCATAACGCTTGCCATTTGATATAATAGCAATGATAACATTCCTCTCTCTCTCTCTCTCGTTTATTCCTCCTGTTTCTTCTCTTATGATTCAGTCTCCGTTTGCACATCGATATTCGTGAAGTCGACACTAAGTCCCTCCTCGGTAGTACCTCCGTTCCAAAGGAGAAGTCAAACCTCTTCAAATTCCGTTGTAATCAGGACAAGGTCCTCGTTATCGGTGTTAGTCAACCAGATGAAAGCCCAGCTGTTCCACCCCTTCGGGTTATAAAGTAATTTACTCTTACTTAAATCCAACTTCAGTAGTTTATGCAAATCGCTCACTTCTCTGCATTCTTTCAAGGTGCTTGAGTCTTGGATTGGCCTACGGTCGCTTTGTCAACGCAAATGATATTACAGAACTCGCTTCCAATTCCGGTTCGTTGCCTAGCGATGAAGCTATGAGTCTTCTTCCTGACGCTTCTGTCTTCGTCACTAAGACACACTGGTCACCAAAAGCCCCCCAGTTTATCGATCTTAACACTATCACAGATCGAGGCTAGTTGTCATTTTTATCTATATTTTAGTGGGAATTTTATTACGGCAAAATTTACTATGCTTGTTTTGTTCACTTTTTAGATAGATTTGTGTTTTTCACGGTTGTCTGTGACTTACTTCTGGAGTCGTTGACTGGTCCAGTTCGTTTGGGTTGTGTTTGTCGAGCCAAGATCCTTCAAAAGGATCATTCTTTTTGGATATCCCCTCAGAGAAAGCCCTATTCAGAAGACTATAAATTAAAATTGGTTGAGGTAGCTTTTAAAAATTCTATTTTAGTGGATCCTTCTTTGGGTTGCAAATGTTAAACTTGTAATATACACTATCTTTCAGATGACGGATGAAAGCAAACGTTGGATTATAATGAATCGTTTCTCGCTTCATTCTGTCTCCTCAAATTTCTCTGATGTGATTCATTCCCTATCTTCTCAAACCGTCGATCCAACCTTTAAACCCACCTCACCGACTAATGGAGATTCAGGATCGGTGAAAGATGACTCCATTTCGGCAGAAATCGATCCAGGAGATGATGGAACAGACGACGATGAACCGTTGATGAGTGGAAATGGTGGAGAAGACCTCAAAATAATCACAGATGATGATGCGTTCGTTGCTTGGGGCGACCTGGTAACAGAATGGCGAGAGTGGAATAAGGGCTCGGGTAAGAATGCCCTTTCTCTTCCTCCACATCCCTCCGCGAAGACTGTCGTTACTCAAAGTGGTGCTGAATGTCTTCCAAATGGTGCTCTGGGTCGTCGAATACGTCAGCTTGTCCGGCTAGGTATTCCGGACACCCTGCGACCAGAAATCTGGCATAGAATGACAGGCTATCAGGCCGTCGACCAGGGGCTGGCTGAAGTTTATCGAATTATGTTGACGAAGCCTTGTGAACTTGACGAAGCTATTCAAAAAGACTTACCACGAACTCTGCCGGCGCATAATTTTTTTCAGGAAAAGACTGGTCAAGAAGTTTTATTCCAGTTGATTCGAGCCTACGCTCTATATGATGAACCCGTTGGCTATTGCCAGGGAATTTCGTTTATCGCGGCTGCTCTACTACTTCATGTACTTAATTACTACTGAATTGGGTTTTATAAGTAGAATGGGTGTGCGTGTGTAAGTTTCAATCTGCTTTTCTTTTGCCGTTTTAGTTGCCTGAGGAACAGGCCTTCTGCTTGTTGGTGAAGATAATGTCCAACTATGGTATAAGAATGATGTTTTTAAATAACTGTGAAGGATTGCTCCGTTGTCTCCATCAGCTTGATCGGCTAATTGAGGTTCGCTTTTATTATCATTTAAAAGTTCATTGTAAAGTGGGAATTATTTTGATCCATTTTTGAATGATTGGTTGTCATTGGGGAGTTTTCTTCCATTCTTTCTATCCAAGTCCACCTGGTTCACTCTGCTTTTAGCCAAATTTGAGTCGATAGAATTGCGAATCCTCCACTCAGTCCAAAAGCAATCATTCGGGCGCAAAAGGATTGTCTCGGGACTTCGCGGACAGCTGAAAAGCCGATTTAAGAAGGCGTTTGTCAATTTGACTGACTAGTGCAAACAACATCTCCGGCTGGATAAAACGAATGAATCTTGAAGTGAGGTAGAAAGAGGCGCTTCTAGCTCCTGGGGGGGGGGGGCTTCACGGAATAGATGGCAGGCAAACCGATTAATAATTCTCACTCTCATTCGGGGGGGGGGGGAATATTGTTGAAGGGTTTCATTATTGCCTCCTATCAGGGTATATTTCAAACCCCATTCTAGACGTGCCCCTAAAGTAGCATTACTGGCGGCGTTACTACAATCTCAGCTGAACCAGTAATAGTTATATCTTAATCACTACGCCTTTTCATATAATTAACGAACAATGACTAAGTCACCTTCGTAATCACTACAACTATCCTGAGGGACACGGCGACCGCGTTTAGTGTTGTTTACATAAATTCAGTTAATGTATATACGCTGTGGGGCTCATATTTATCCTTGTTACCTACCCTTTGGTAAAGTTTTTAGTAATTGGCTAGATCTTACTTTTTTGAATGCTCTCATTATGTAGGATCAAGTCCCTGACGTTTACCGAGCTTTCTCGGAACTAGGAATCAAGTCTCATATGTACGCCAGTCAGTGGTTCCTTACTCTCTTCACCGCCAAGTTTCCTCTCAACTTTGTCTTTCGCATTTTCGATATCTTCCTCGTCGAGGTAAGCGAATACATCTGTTCCGATTCGCCTCGCTTTTCAAACCGCGACCCATTGGAATTATTGACTGCCTTCTTTGTTACTTTAGGGTCTTCTCTTCATATTCAAAGTCATGATAGCCTTCCTGAAAATCTCTCGCAATTATCTCCTAGGCTTGGACTTTGAGGGCACTCTCAAATACTTCCGTATAACCCTTCCCAAACGCTTCCGATCCAACGAAGCTTGTGATGAATTCATCTCCACGGCCTGTTCCATAAAGGTAAGCTCTTTTTACCGGAATATTTAATTCTGAAGTCCCTATGATTGGTTCTTCGATTTGAGGTGGGGGGAATTAACATCTCGTCAAGACGCAGGCCTTTCTCATCGAATCTTGCTTGCAGTTTTTCTTTACCTCATATTGCTAAATAAAGCATTTACTTTGACAAACCTGCTAAGTAAACATTTCATGCAACTTGAAGTATTTTTTCTGCGAGTGGCCCCTAATGTCTTATTTATTTCAAATGTCTGGTGTTTTGGTTGTTATCATTAGCCCTTTAGCAGACTTCGGACTTCACAGAGGAAAGGAACATCATAGCGGGAAAAATTCGAGTGAGGGGAAATAAGAGTGTTTCACAGATGTAAAGAGACAGATGGAGATAAACGAGTATTGTTGAAGTGGTCGGATTTGACATATAGTGAGGTCATGGTAGTTAGAAATCAGAGGTCAACTGCTGGCTAATAGACTTTTTTGCCGTATGAGTGTACGTTGCCCAAGGTGCATCGCGTGGAAGTAAGTCTATCGCGCGCCCCGGCCCCCTTATTGTAGGTTGCTGTTGTTTGAGTTTAACGTTTGAATATTGCTACTTAAATATTTAAAGTAGTGTTTTAACGACAGATTAGTGGTAGACAGTTGATTCGATACGGTCGAGACTTCGAAAAGCAACGCGAAGTGGACGCCAAGGCGAATTCGGAGTCAGCGGCGCTGGTGAGGGAACTGAATCGCCTTCGGGAGGAGTGCGGTCGTTTGGACAAGGAGAATGGCGACCTTGCCGGCAATCTAATGGCCCATAAAACTGATATGCAGTCGACAATCGATCGGGTGAGTCTCTTCTTTACTTACACCAGCGTTATTCTACTATCTGTGTTTATATCGCGGTATTTTTGCTTATACGTCATGATATTTCTATGCACTTTGACATATCTACTGCAATCGCATTTACTCATATTTTATGGAGCTGCAAGATCGTCTTGCATAATTAACTCAGATATTGGGCTATGCCTATACAACTAATTATGCAACAATAAATAATTAAACTATTCCTCAAACAATGTGACATGGAGAGCACAATTATATGTACTTATAGGTGATGATGGCCAATTTCGATCTCGAAATGGAAACAGTACTTCGTGCACGTTGAAGAAAAGGGAAGACCAAGACACATTAAGATTTTTTTTATTAGAAATGGTTAACTTTTTAAAATGTTACCTTACTGTGAGATTCGCCATTTGGTTTATTTGTTGGTTTAATGCGGATCGATTCTGGATAGAGGCGTTTGACTTTGTCTTTTTAACAGCAATTTCTTTTACAAATGTCTTTAGCTTGAAGACGAAGTAGAGAATTTGAGACAGGAGTTGAGGAATACTCAGTACGAATTGAAGGAGAGGGAGGAGGAATGTGCTCTTCTCGAGCGTGATTCCTCTCTCGTGAAAGAAATGCTACGCAAGGCTCTGAGCAGTGACCAGGCCAAAGGCGACTTACTCTCTAAGTATCAAACTGCCAATGCCAATCTCTCAGCCCGTCTGGAAAAAGAGCAAAACACAGCTTCTCAAAAACTCTCCCAAATTGTGGTCGAGGCTGTTCTAGGCTGCAATGGAGAGTGTAGACGCGTTCTTGATGAGCGTTCCCCTGGCTGGGCCAGTCAGTCCGCTTGTATCACATCAAATGGCGATGATATGGAGGAATTAGTGACTCTTCGGAGTAGGGTGAGTTTCCCCCCAAAATAAACCATATTTAAATATTTATTCATATCGAATTGCAGGCTTTATGATAGTTATCATTAGCCCTTTAGTTGATTTCGGGCTTCACAGAGAGGAGGAACGGGCAAAGTCACAAAAGTTCAAGAGTTTGGGAGGTGGGGGGGGGGGGGGGGGGGGGGTGTAACAGAAGAGTGATTCATAGATGTAAAAGGGCCAGACAGTCACAAAGGTAGAGAAAAATGTTAGGTTAGGTGGGTACTGTGGTAGTGGTGGAATATGACAGACAGTGGGTTCATGGTAGTATGAAGTAGGAAGTCAACTTTCGGTTAATAGACTTTTTTGCCGTATGAGTATAGGTTGCCAAAGATGCACCACGTGGAGGTAAGTCTATCGCACACCCCTTTGTTTATGACATAACGTAGAGGTAAACATGTAACTATGTCAATTTGCCTTTAAGTCAACGTGGGCTCAAAAATGGCTTCTCTTCTGTCGATTAAAGATAGTTTATTTAATTAAAATATTAGCTGACGATGTATCTAAAATTGAAAGCCAGATTGATCTAGTTCGTGGGTCTGTTTCGACATGCCTTTGATAGGCAGCTCATTTACCAAATGCGGTTGGCTAATCAGTTAACTGGCGGTTAATAGACTTTTTAGCCGTATGAGTATGTGTTGCTTTGTGTTCACCACGTGGAGGTAAGTCTATCGCACACCCCTTACTACAAATATATAATAAGTGGAACTCAATCTGCTGTCTTCCTTCAGGTCCGCGAACTTGAACTGGAATTGGCCCAGAATAAAGTTCTATTAGTTGATGCAGAATGTAGTCGGCAGGACTTGGGTCACCAGTTGACACAAACACTTGCAGAGTTAAATGAGCTCAAATCACAAGCGGAGGCCGGGTTTGGTTATAATCCACGACAATGGTTGGCCAAAAAGTGGACAAATGTATCCTCTCGGGCGAATGGGAATTCCTCAAGCACTCCCAATACTGCTATTCCTCCCGATTCGACAAATCTTGAAGGCTCGAATTATTCCGTTTCCACTTTCGCAGAGTCACCTACTACTTTAAATTAGCAGAAGTTCAATAGGAATTACACCATTTGTTCATTGGCCAAGTTGTGCTTTCAATCCCGATGCGCGTGCTCTCTCTCTCGTTCCCCCCCCCCTCTCCCCCCTCCATCACTGCGGATTGTAATATCTCGTGTCTCTTTCACTTCGCCCCCCCCTCCCCCCCCCTCTCCTGTATTCATCTTAAGGATTTGACCTAATCTGAAATCTTTTGAGGCATTATTCCTTTCCTAAATTTGTTCAAACCCCATTGTATCCGCACCTAAGTCGTGTTGATGGTAGGTGAAACATGATAAATAAGGTCTATTTTTACCCGAAGTGAGACTTTTTTTCGAATTTATTCATCACATTAAGTTGTGTGCGTGGGCACTGTCACCAAAGTTGATTTGAGTACGATAATCATTGCCTTGAAACTGCGGATGCATATAAGAGTGAAGGCTATGAGCAAATCTATTCAGGCACCGAGATATCCTCACAGTCTATTAACTTTGCGCTCATAACTCTGGAATAGAAAGGTAAGGAATATTTGCAGATGGAAGATTGGATACAACCACGTTATTGATAGCTACCAATCATCATTCAGTAAAGTGAAGAGAAATGTGCAATTACTTTCTTTCTTGTCCATTGCGTTATTGGGATTAAATATTACGCATAAAAGACCATACATGGGATATCACTATGGGGTAATCAATTTGATTGGATATCTGCTTTTTATTTGTGTGTTCAGGAGGCGCAATTCACCCGGATCTCACTTTCTAACAATCCGTTCAAAGTTTTGTCAACTTTGTGGTAATCGTGAGCAGTAGATCGATGCAGCACTATGGATTTTAACGTTTTTTTTTGCACAGCAGATGGGAGCATCTGTTAACATCTCCAATTCTGAAATTTGATTGGTTATAAAGTTGGGGGAGAAAAATATTGTGCAGTATTCGAGTTGAGTGGAGTGGATGTTTATTCTTGAACCAAGGATTTGCTATGCAATCTACAAGTGGCGAGAACGTCCTATGAACACTTCCAACAATGAAAGTGGTTTCTCAATTGCATTTGTTTATTTCAGATGACAGGCGGTTTGATAGTTATTAGCCATTTAGCTGACTTCGGGCTTCACAGAGAGGAGGAGGAATATCAAAGTGACAAAAAGTCAGGAGGGGGAACAGAATAATGATTCACATAAGTAAAAGTCATAGACAGATACAAAGGCAGAGAAAAGGTAAGATGAGTACTGTGAAGGGTTGAATATGACATGGAAGTTTGAAGTCAGAAATCAACTGCCAGTTTTTAAACTTTTTCGCCATATGAGTATACATTGCCCAGGGTGCACCATGTGGAGGTAACTCTATCACACACCCCGATGTTAACACTATTGTTCATTTACACTTGAATAATCTATCTTGGATTTAAACTATCAAGCCTATACTCGTCTGGCCACTCAAATTTTCATTTTACTGTGCCCTATTTCACTTATTTTAATCTTTTTTTCGAAAGACGAGATAGTAGGAACTAGAATGGCCATGAGTTGGGCCGTTTTCTCTCTGCCATTTCATGGATTACAATAGAAATTCCGGATCAAAACACCATCTACCGAAAATCAACTTTCTAAATTAATAGTAAGCGAAGAAATTTATTTATATCAAATGGCAGGCTTTAGGATATTTATCATTAGCCCTTTAGTTGACTTCAGGCTTCACAGAGGGGAAGAAACATCAAACAGAACAGAAGTGTTTCAAAGCTGTAAGATACAAACACAAAGGTAGAAAAAAAGGTGAGGTGAGTACTGTGGAAGTAGTCGAATAAGGCATACAGTGAGGTGATGGTAGTTTGAAGTCAGAAGTCAACTGTCGGTAAATAGACTTTTTTGCCGTATGAGTATACGTTGCCCAGGGTACACCACGTGGAGGTAAGTCTATCGCACACCCCGTAAGCAAAGAAATAGCCAAGTAATCATTTCCGTAGATTGAAACCACCCATTAATGTTTACCCAGTGGTATTTAAAACCAACTACAGTTCAAAGTACAGTTCAAATTGGTTTCACGATAATTTGCATGGGCCAGTATGTTAGCATCGTGCCGAACATCGATTAATCATCCAATGACGCGTAATGCATCATTTGCCAATTAAATGTCGGTCGTTTCCGCCCCCCCCCCCTGCCCTGTGGTTAACATCTGATACAGACAGGAAGAGCCTAAATTTTAGCCAGTCAATTTTCTTTTCATCATTCGGTTCCAACTTGCATTTAATTTAATTTTGAATCTAAAAGAATCGTTATTTTGTGAAAGTGCCTTTGGTATTTTATTTTAAATTTAAGAAAGTTTGATTTTTTTTTTATTGTTTGAGTATTTAATCCAGTGAAATTTCAGCAATCAATATTTCAAGACCAAACCAATTATTGTCAGCTGCTTGGCTACTTATTTTCTTCTATTTTTAATTCAGATGTCGAATAGAAGTCAGAGTTTTTAGTTAAAAGAATAATTGGAAGATATTAACAATGGTATATCTATAATTAATGGTTAATCGCAATCTGTGCATCGAAATTGTCTATTATTTTACGAATAATTAAGTTATGATTGCCAGAGTTTTATTGGAGGACTATTTTAATTAAAGTTGTTAATCGGTTCTAAATTAATATCATGCTGATACTAGTCAGGATATCAGTTGGGTCGCGAATGCGGCTAGAATTCAAGCCAGGGAGGGTTGGCTTAATTAAACTAGTCGAAATGCATTTTCACAGTTGGGCGGTTGGGTTGGTGTTTATTCAAATGTCGAACACGAATCTGTGACCTCTACCGTTAAGGTCATCTTGATTTAAACACACACACACCTTTCTCAGCAGGTACCCCCTCTACACCAGTTAGCGAATTTCAACATTTCAGCATAGTGCAATGAAAGCGAAATTAAATCTCTTTCAACTGGACGGAGCGAGAATGGAGATGTATAGAGGAGGCAACCAACTGAATTAGTTCTAGTTTATTTTATTTATTTCAAATGGCAAGCTTTAAGATAGTTATCATTAGCCCTTTAGCTGACTTCGGGCTTCACAGAGAGGACGAGGAACATCAAAGTGAGAAATTGGAGAGGGAGAACAGAAGAATGATTCAAATGTGTAAAAGAGACAGACATAAAGGCCGAGAAAAAGCCAGATGAGAACTGTGATAGTGGTCGAATATGACATACAGTGGGGTCATGGTAGCTTGAAGTTAGAAGTCAGCTGGCGGTTTATAGACTTTTTTTGCCGTATGAATATACGTTGTCTAGGGTGCACCACGTAGAGGTTTGTCTTTCGCACACCCCATTTGTCCTAATATTTACGGTTCGAAGTATAAAGTTGGTTCATTCTTCAAATCCTAAGAGGAAAAGATTGCACTATTATTTGATCGAATAATTTAAAAATAAAAAATTAAACTTTGCGACTATGTTCATGCATCAATTTTTCGGAGATTTTGGTTGAAAGTATGACCAAGCAATGGTTTCTAGTGGGTCAAAACGACGATGGTTGCGATGAAGGGGGGGGGGGAAAGCGAACAGGGGCGCGAATGCAAGAAGTTTAATTGAAATCCATGTCCCCCAAGAGGAAGGAAATACATCATTTTGACTTTGGTGTATCATCCAAGCTCAATACGTAGCATCACCCTTTAATTTAGTGGTTAAGGGTGACTCTTAAAGTACTTCATCGATTTTCATTTTAATTTTCAAAGTTCTCCAGGTCTATCCTAAAGTACACCTGCACTCATTCACACGCATTCTCGCCTCAACTTAAAGAGACAGTCGATGGAACAGAATAACTGGTTTAAAATGCCCAAATTTACTTGAGTTCACGCAAAGTAAATCTTGCGAACAAAAAGGCGAATAAATATATACATATTATTGCTTTCACTAAATAGTTTCCAAGGCTTTTTTTCGAATTTTAAATGCGACATTCGTAAGTAAGAGGTCACTCCATCAATCCTACCCCCCTCCCAAATTTTGATTGTATGTGGTAGCCAAAGTCATAAATTTTATTAAATCCTACACTGACCTAAAGTCATTTGCCACAGTGTTAAGTGTTTCACACACACGCGGACACGTCTACTTAAAAAATGTTTAAGTATTTTAATGACCTAGCCACCGCATTAGTCATCGACTAATTTGCGCGGTGTCATCCAAACAAGGTCAGTGAGAGAAAGAGACGGTGGAGAGACGTTGTAGCGCGACTGTTGCAATGAGAGTTTACGAATTCGTCAATGTCAGAGGATGACTAACTCCACTAGAGAGGGAAAAAAATCGTTTATTTATAAAAAAACAAGTTTTGTAGGAGAAGCTGGGGCTTCTGGCGGTTGATGTGAGTAATGCATGGAGTTGGTGTATTTGTTCCGTTCCTTTTTTTGAGAAAGATGACTTGCCAAATGACTGCTGTATTATATTAAAACATTCTTTTGGGAATACCGTGATGAAATAAATCGCTTTCGACAACCTATTTCTATGGAATTGCCTCCATACGCGGATCCATATTCCTCGAGTTAGCCTCAGAGGCTGACTTCAACCTATTTGCTAAGAATCTTGTCTTGTAATTGTGGGGAAGAGAACGAGTGAATTTCAATAAACAAAATGATGTACACTTCCGGTGTAACAACTTTACTCGATGGACTTACCTCCACGTGGTGCATCCTGGGCAACGTATACTCATACGGCAAAAAAGTCTGTTAACCGGTAGTTGACTTCTCACTTCAAACTACCATTACCCCATTGTATGTCATATTCCACCATTTCCC